TTGACTCAGTGCCTGGGGTAATGGTGTTAGGCATGTCAGAGACAATGAAGTTGGCCCAAGACAGAGCAGTGTTCAGAGCTACTGTACATAACAACAATAACAACATGGGAGGGTTGGTTTTGTGGAGAATGGGGTAAGAGTGGATAGATACAGCATTAGAACAGAAGAAGGGAAGAAAAGAATATACAGTTATGTGTTACATGTATGAGAACAATCTGGAACAAGGGGTGGCATTGCAGGGTAGGCTGAGGGGAGTAGGAGGAGACAATGTGCAACAATGAAATAAGAAAGAAATGAAACTTTCTAAATGCATGTTGGGTTTATTTAAGATCATACTTTGGGTCTTACGGACTTGCTTTCATTTTCTTCAGCTTTCAATTTAAACTTCCATCAAAGACTTGATGGTTTACTCAACAGTTGGTCCCTTGTCTTGTTACGACTTGATGATATTGAGCTTATTCACCACCTTTTTGCATAGATTATAGACAATTTGAATCAGGAAAGGTCCACATATACAGTCACCATTTATGGTTTGGTTTTTGTTTCGGGTTTGTTTGGTTTTTATTTTAATGAAAGTTTTACAGAGACTTAGGGTTTCCAGTCATTCATTGTTGCACTTTTCTCCCTCCCCCCAATTCACTCTTCTCCTTGAAAGGTAAAAGAAAAATTCTTTCATTGTTATGTAATCCCTCCCCCCAAGTCCACTCCACTGTGCAGCCTTCATTCTGGACTCCTGTTATGAAAACAATACCCCCTTTTAAACAGTTCTCTCCCTCATCTCTTTCAATGCCATATACATCATTCCTCCCCTCCTTCTCTGTCTTCCCTCCAATATCATTCCCGTTTAACAATAGTGGCCCTATACAATATTTGTCCTTTTGTGACTGAGATATTTCACTCAGCATAATGTCCTCCAGGGTTATCCATTTTGCATAATATTTCATTAGTTCCTTCTTTTTCAATGCTGCATAGTATTCCACTGTGTGAATATACTAGAGCTTCTCTATCCATTCATTTGTGGATGGGCACTTGGGTTCTTTCCAGCTCTTTGCTATTGTGAACAAAACCACAATAAACATGGGTGTGCATCTATCTGCTTGGGTCATGGTTATGCTTTCTTTAGGGTAAATTCCCAGTAGTGGAATTGCTAGGTCAAATGGTATTTCTATTTGCAACTTTTTGAGAAAGGGCCATTCAGCCTTCCATAGTGGTTGCACCATTTTACACTCCCACCAACAGTGAATTAGGGTTCCAGTTTCTCCATGACCTTGCCAGCATTTGATGTTTGCTATTCTGTTAAATTTTGCTATTCTTACTGGGGTGAGATGATATAGTTACTTTGATTAGCAGCTCTTTTAGAGCTAGGGATTTTGAACATTTCTTCATGTTGTTTGTTGGCCATCTGAATGTCTTCTTTGGTGAAGTGTCTGTTCATATCCTGTGCCCATTTTTCAGTTGGGTTATTTACCTCTTTATTGTTGTGGTGCTCAAGTATTTTATAAATTCTAGATATAAGTCCCTTGTCTGACATGTCATTACCAAATATTTTTCCCAATCTATGGCTTCCCTTTTTACTCTGTTGGAGAAGTTTTTCAGTGTGCATAGGGATTTGATTCTTAGACGGTCCCATTCATCTATTTTTATCTTCTCCTGGTTGTAGATTTTCCAGGATGCGTGGAAGACTGTTTATGTTGTGGATTAGGATAATTTGATATCAAGAAAAGTCCATGTATACAGTCACCATTTATGTTTAGAAGAAAGAAAGAAAAACAAGTACTGCAACGAGTAAGTCATTCCTCAGAACAAAATTCTATCCTATGATTTCCAGCCCCATTTTGTCACCATGGCCGTATTTTCCAACTATCCATCTTTATTCATTCCCATGACTGGTGTTATTACTCAGCCATTCTCCTCCCCCCTCAGTCATTTGCCTTCCCCCTTAGCCATGCCCCTTTGCTCCTAGCTGCCTCTCTTCCCCCCAGCCATCCTCCTTCCCCTCCCTGCCACCCTCCTCCTTCCCCCCAGTCACCCTCCTTCCCCCAGTCACCC